AGGTTACATTTTGAAAAAGAAGAAGAAATTTAAGATGGCAATAGCAGAGCACTAAAACAAGTGTGCAGCCCTGCTAAGAGTGACGCCCTGTGCAACTGCTCAGTTCACATGCCCATGACATCAGTACAGCCTGCACATGCATGTGCAAACCTGTTCATGTTCTGATTTCCATATCGTGATGTATATGGAATAAAGCAATTCTTGAACTGTTTTAAAAAGTAGCATTAATTTAGGAGTGAATCATGGTGAAAAACTAAGCCCACAAATTCCATATCTGAAATATTAAGCTGAATCCACACTTACCAAGGTCAAGTTATTTGAAGTAATCATTACAGGTTTGGGAAGGCAAAACATTGAGGCTGAATTACCAAGTTGTCTCAGAAGGATGGAACTAAGCTAGGCAGATCATCAATAATAAATTAAAGGCCTCGAGATAAAATAATAGATTTAGTTTTTTTCCTAAAATCTGCCTCTGCAATACAGATTAACCCCAAATAATCCATTTTTTCCATAGGGAGATATAAATGGCTATGCCTTTTACGGCTACCTAAAGATTTTTGAGTTTTTCTTTTAAGAAAAGCTTTTATTTCTATATCCGTATCCATAGCCCCATAGTTAGATGCACCCAACATGATCCAATCTGGTCATTTCAGAATCATGATTGCTTGTGCTCTCTGCTTGATTCAAGATCCTTATTCAAGCCCAGTGAGCTAGGAATTGCATTTTCCATTTCAGATGCTTTGAGAAATTTAACTTCTAAAGCTAGTTGAAGTAATTATGATTCTGTAAAAAGCTAAGCCAATTACTTCTTTTTAAGAACTAAACCTATTTTTGGCCCGTAAATGAAATCAGTCTATGGAGCAGCTACTGAAAATGCCTACCTGCCAAACTACAAGCCGTGAGGGTCCCATTATTGCTGTTCTGGGTATTAAATGCAATGAGGATGAGAGGGAAACAGCATACAGGGAACTGTTTCTACTAGACTCGAAATACTGGTCTTATGGTGCATCATGCACCAAGCCCTGAGCACAGGAAAATCATGTATAAATGTACTTCTTACCAATATGTGTCCAAGCCCTGCCTCTGACCATTTAATTATACATTCCACAGCAGTATATCATACCATATAGCAAGTACTACTGCAGGTGATTATTTGGTGCATTATATCGTGGAATAACTTCTCTTTTTCTTCTTCAAAAAATATTTTCCAATGCCATGTGGTGAATAGAAACACCTAAAATTAAGATCACAATCAATGACTTAATAATAAACTTGGGATTTCAGAACACGCTTATTGTAGGAACCAAGAGTTCCTCTAACCACATCTGAAAATAGTTAACTAACTATAATCATCGCAATATATTCTGAGGACAGTAGAGCAAAGTTATAACTAAAGGACTCCATTATCTATATCTTATTCCTTATTAGTGGAAATTCTTTCCCTAAGCAGGTAGAAAAGTCACATCCTTCTAGAGCCTAGTTTTTCTAGATAATGATTTAAATTATCTCTACTTGGTGGTATGGAAAAGCCTGTGGATGCAAATACATGGCTTCACCTTAGGACATACATTTTAAGATCCTTTGTTGCTGATACATTCTTGCTATAATAGTTTCCCTGAAGGACTTTGATGGAGACTCAGGTGGTAAATATATGCCAGATGCTATTCAGTATGATTCTTCCTTGGGATGCTTTATATTAATACTTTTATTTATACATAAGCTGCAGCATCTCCCAGCAAAAAGATTAGCATAAGCACCATTTTTTTTTTTTTTTTTTTTTTGAATAGGTGACTCCAGGCCTGATGCTTTACAAAAGCACATTCATCCCTGTGGATTTAGCTTTTGATTTGAAGAGCCTTGAGTTATTTGTAAAGGGGCTGGAGAATCTCCATACTGTGTTATGAAAGGGACTGACAATGCAATTTTTAAATATGAAACTTTTCTCTC